GAAGGTCGGGAAATGTTCGCGATGACACGCAACCAATGCATATCGGTCCAGAATATGTTCAAGGACTCAGAAATGTCCGGTTATTCATGGTTACTGTACAACGAGGCGGTTCAACGTTCAAACCGCGCCACAGTCGACATCAACCTTCTCTGCAGCCAACTTCAGCAGGGTGTCGACCGCATCATTGCCCTCGCGAGAGAGCCTACCGAAGAGGCTGTGGAAAAGATGCTCGAGCTCCTGGAGAAGTGTCGGAAACTCGAAGAAGAGTTCAAGAAGCTCCGCCAAAATCCGAGTCCACAGTGGAAGGTCGAAGTCGCTGAATGGGTCTTTGACCGAACCGATGAAGAGCTTGACACCGAACCCACGTTCGACGGTCAAGTGTTCAAGTTCTTTAACCTGCCCATGGCTGTATTGCACTTGGTTACATGGTCATCTCACCTCAACCTCATCACGACAATGATCCGCGCTAGCTCGTGGTTGGCATCGGCTGGTAGAGAAGGCTTAAACGACTACGATGAGTACGGAGACCTGGTACACTCTGCGAGCGCCCGTGTTGACGACATTGTTTCGGCGGTTCCGTACTTTTGCAGCTGGAACGGGTACGGCGTTATTGTTTCTCAGTTTCCCTGCGGCACGACGAAGCCAGACGACCCGCTCAAGGGCGAGGCCGGACTCATTGTCATGTGGCCCCTGGCCATGGCCTTGAAGAGCGACTACGCTACACCAAGACAGAGACGATATCTGAGAGCCCGCCTCCGTTACATTGCAGACGTTTCTGGTATTAGCCAGGCCAGGTTTTTCATGAACGAGATTTGAGATGGTGACGACTGAAACGACAACTTGGACGTAATTGTATGAATGCGGGTTGAAGTTTAGCAAGAACGGCGTCGGCTATTTTGAGCATAATGATTTGAGGCGCACAAGAGGTCATATCGCATGCGGGAGTTGGGATACCAGGGCAGGGCGGCTACAGTTATCAGACTGATTTCGAGGAGTGATACCATATTTAGTGACGACGCATGTAAGTCCGATTGAGACGAATAAAGTACAGAACTATTCGGAGCGTTTGACATGGATCATAACTCGTCAGAATAGCAAGTGATGAATGGCACCTACCCAGAGATGAGCTCTTGGTGTCTAGCGACTTAAAAGTCCAAGAAGTGAGGCAGTCATGAGATAGAGTGCCAGCCGCGAGCCACATCCTACTCTCAGCACATGTTTAGATCATGTACCTGCAATGCCGACTCCGCAAAATAATTAAAACCCGTTTTTGGAAACATTGAAGATCACAACAATTCTCCAAACGGCAATGTGCCGTGGCCAATGCTGGTTCTCCATCGAGGCTAGACCTCTTTTAGGGGTTTCATCCCGTCATCTCTGGTACCGCCTAGCGTTTCGAAGTGAGAGCCAAGTCCTGACGCTATTTAGACTTTGGAACCAACAACAAAGTCTTCCCACTCGGCAGTACGAAGCGCGCACAGAGTAGAAACACGAACCAATGTCAACATCACCTCATGGATTGGATGATCAGCCCCACGCCCAATCGAATCCCCTTATTCGGTTCCTTTGCACGAGGCACAGAAAGGAGCTACCCGTTTGAATGATATGCACATTGTTCTGCCTTGCACCAGTGGCAGTTTGGTTTTTGTCGTTGTTGGTAACCAAATTAGCAGGGCGATGCTCTTCTCAGGACTGTAACAATTGGGCCAGCTCTCATATGAGACTGAACACAATGAGGTGAGGTCAGAACTAGGATCCGGACTACCTCATATTCTGAGAGTGTTCTAAGTTCGTCACAAGCATTCTGGTTCAGTTCTACAACGGACTGTCGGTGGGATAGATCAGCCGCAGATACATGGGATGATGGGCGATCCTACGAGCGTCTGCTATTCCCGCTGTGCTGTTTCTTCGTGCCTTCACACGGATGCAGGGACTAGCATGTGTGCGACACAGCGGTATACGTCTTCAATGAAAATCAGCGAACGGGGACCGACTCGTCTTTCTATGCAACCATGAACCGAATGGCCGTGCAGTCAAGGCTTGCAAACTGGAAGTTCCACTTCAACTTTGATACTACGCCACAAATGCTACATACAGTCACACTATGATGACAGCATTGTTACAGTGGATCAGTGAAGTTCGCTTTAGAGATTGATTAGACTCATACCTTCGATACCCACTAATTAATGCCCCAAACATAACGCTCGATCTCTATGGAGCGACCGAAGAACCAGACAAACCAACGCACTCTAATACGACCCATAACCATACTTCGGCCGCCAGCATATATTCTTCCGGAATGCCTTCCACTCCAGCATCGACGTTGTTCCTACTGCCTGTGCTGGCTCGGGCTCCCCATTCTCTTTATACCAAATACCCTTCCAACACCGAGTCTCGTGAAGCGTGACATGAGAATCGAACACATCCCGAGACACATCGCACGTAACAATCTCTCGCTTCGCAGTGAGAACTCTGCTCAACGGGAACAACATTTTCAGAACATCGGGCAAAATATCCGGATCGCCACGCTTCATGCACTGCTCAATGGGAATATCCTCGCCAAACAGCACAAAAAGCCGGAAGGAGGTGAGCTTGCCGTCCGAGTGCTTCTTCATGACGCCGATGCTGGCCATCTTCTTGTAGAGCTCCATAGATAACGTGCCGTGGTGCGGATCGAACCAGTTGGTGATTATGTCGTTGAACTCATTCCGGCCTATGGGGACGTCGTAGGTGCATTCGATCATGACTAGGCGGCGGCAGTGCGAGGGCTCGATCTGGCGCGACGCACAAAAGTGGCGTTGATATTTTCCGTTGGTGATTCTGTCCATCTTGATCTTTATGCCGCCAACGACCTTGCCAATGAGAGATTTCTGCCTATCGCCGGGCATCTTGTTGATTTTGAGGTAATAGAGTGAGGGGTGTTGTTGATTTAGGGAACTGGATTTTCCGAAAGCAAAAGCTGGATTGATGCTGACTCGTTTTGAGGTGATGTATTGGTTTTCCGGTTTGTCTGGAGGCTGATTTTGTTTGAAACAGGGGATGGAGAGCGTCTTATGTCTTCATATGCAGCTGCAACATTCTGAGGCTGCTGATGCTAACCATTTCAATGAATAGAAAACGTATGTAGTTGCACAATGATCTTGATCCAACTTCAAAGGAGAGAATCAGCTAGTTCTTCACAAGAACTATGTAATAATAGTGCCAGAACAGGGTTGGGCTTTGTCACCCTGTGATGGCACCTACAAAGACCTCTTTGAGCTCTTCATGAAGCGAGAAACAAGGACGTTAGGTTCTTACTATCTGCGTGTTCCTCATTGAGGTAAGTAAAGAAAGCTGTCTCATTTACAGGAGAACCTGGAGAATGAGATTCCCTTCAGCAAAGCCATATCGTTAAGGAGGGCGCAATCTCGAAAGTACAGTGTAGAGAGTATCCTATCAACTACGAGACGAAGCCAGTACATACATTTAAGTACGTAGCTTTTGAAGAAATTGTGGTAAACTGATTCTTTTGATTATTTTAAGACACGTAAGTGCGTAAAAAAGCCCCTCCTTTGCAAATTTCTCTATACGTGATAGTATATACTATTTTAATCCTATCATAGGACCGTTTAACCCGTATAGAGCTCTTGCTAGAAAAGGCATCCCGTCCAGCCGTGCCACTAGCCATATCCTGCAGTTATATGGCGCAACGCCCGGGCGGGAAGACGGCAGGTCGTCTACTCAGCCACAACGGTGAGATTATAGTACATGATAAACAGATCCGATCTTGTATCCGTTACTCCTGCAAAATCGAAAAACCAAATATCAATATCGAAACAGAGATACACTGAAGACGTTTGTACTGACGTTGTCGATGGGATAGAGAATTGGACTGAACATAACTTTTCTGAAGCAGACAATTCACGTGTCTCTGGAAGTGAATCCCTTAGGTGAAAATTTTTGGCTTATGGAGCGAGATCGAATCTGGTACTTGTCCAGTCAAGTTCGAGGAAATCATTGCCAACACGAAACTGAATATTTCCTGACAAGAAATGTGAATCCAAAAATGGTCAAAGTTTGATGAATCCGCCACACTTCGTGGCGGGATGTGGCGAACAGAGAGGATAGCTTCCGATAGGATCGCCTCTTCAAAATAGTCCCAATATTTCATGCGTGAACAGGAGAAGATTTGTCTCTTACTTCGCCTAAAGCTTGAACAATTATCGCATTCAATGTAGCACGAACCCGAACCACTTAAAGAGCCGTGCGGACTTGGCAGGCGAGCTTCCGGAACCGAGCAAGCTCCCGGGAATATTTCTGCCTTACCCTACAGTCTTACTTACCTCGGGGAGTATCTCACCTCGAGTGAAATTGTGCTACTAGAATTACTCGTACATAAGTCGTAGAATGGAAAGACTGGGATCGAAAGCGCAAGGCTTGCAATAGTCTACATGGTTGCCAAGTCAGTAAGGCTGACGTGGTTCTGCAGGCCGCCGGCTCGTTCTGTAGGGCTACTGTCTTGGATCTACGCGCCAACACGGCGGTTCGCATGTGACGACTAGTAAGGTTAGGTTCATTGCCCGTTTGTGGGGTAATTCGAGCTGTAAGGCGGACAACTGTTCCCGCGCGCCAGGTCGGCCGCATAAGTTGCCAACTCATCCACACATCTACCATGGCATTTACCACATTGGGCTTCTTAGCTTGACAGTGGCTTTTCTCGGAGGTCCTCAATACCACATCGCGAATCCACTTGTGTGTGTCTTTACTTTTCTTTTTCATGCGACGGGGCCTTCTTTCTCTCCGAAATTCCGTCTGAGCTGTTGGAGAACCGTGACGCATCAACCCGACGTGTTCGTTGTGTGTCATGCTCGAGGTCTGAGCACCGAGCCAGCGGGAACGCCTCAGTTACCAACCACCGCCACACCCGACCTAGATAACCATTTGACAGTCTCTTTTAAGTCGACCTGTTTACATTTGGTGACGATTGTGTAATTGAGAGCTCTTTCATTGAAAATCAAATCATGAGGAGTCTATCAACTTTCTTAACGCTGCTGCGCCTAGCAGACTGGGTAACATCAGCCCAAAGCGACGCGACACCGTCCAGCAACACGGCCGCGAATCAACAGCCGTGCTCGCCCGGCGCCTTCAAATTCCCCAAGAAGCTCGAGGGCGCAGACCTCGTGGGCGTAACGGCGTCCGCGGTCAGAGATCTGACGTTCAACCCCCAGACGCCAGAAGGTCGCGCAGCCATCCCTTCAACCGGTGTCAGCTTCTGCAATGTGACGGTCAAATACGTCCACACGGGCTTTGACGACGTGACGCAGGTGCAGATATGGCTTCCGTCCGCTGAAGCGTGGAACGAACGGTTCGTGGGCGTCGGAGGAGGAGGGTACTCAGCCGGGCAGTTTGGGAGCGAAAAGGTCGTGGCGACGCTGGCGCAGGGATATGCGAGTACGTTTTGGTCTTGATTTCTCTCCTCACTGGTGTTATTACTGGTTCTCCGATCATCTTGTTGGAGTGAACTGACAGCGGGATAGCAAGCTCGACGGATGCCGGCCACGATCATACTACGTGGGAAGAGGCGCCTTGGGCGCTGAAGAAGGATGGCACGGTCAACGAGCGATTGCTCGTGAACTACGCCCACGTCGCGGTGCACGACATGACCGTCATCGCAAAGTCGATTGTAGCGCAGTACTACTCTCGGACGCCAGAATACTCGTACTGGAGCGGCTGTTCAACGGGCGGTCGGCAGGGCATTATCGAAGCGCAACGGTATCCGGGCGACTACGACGGCATCCTCTCGGGCGCGCCGGCCGTCAATCAGCCGAGTCTCATCATCAGCACGTACTGGCCGCAATTTGTGATGAACCAGATGGGCGTGTACCCACACATCTGTGAGCTGATTCTCATGACGCAGTTCGCGGTTGACGCGTGCGACGAGCTGGACGGCGTGAAGGACAGTGTCATCGCGGACCCGGATAAGTGTCCGTTTGACCCGGCGAGTGTGGTCGGCAAGGAGCTCGACTGTGGGAACATGAAAATGGTCATGTCGGCGGAGGCGGCCGAGGTGGCGCGGGAGATTTGGCGCGGCCCGCACGGCGCGGACGGGAGACCGCTTTGGCTGTCGAAGGGGTATCCGAAAGGGGCACCCTTCACAGGCCGCTTCGGGCTCGGGAATACCAACTGCAGTGTAACGAACTCGCCTTGCGTTGGTCGGCCATTCCAGATGTCGGTGGAGTGGATCCGCAACCTCGTCCACAAGGATCCGAGCTACGACGTGAGCAGCATGACGTTTGCCGATCTGGAAGCGGCGTACGAGACCAGCAGGCGGGAGTTTGACAGCATCATTGGAGCGAACAATCCAGACCTCTCAGAATTCAAGAGACTGGGGCGCAAGATGATTAGCTGGCACGGGCTGGCTGACGAGTGTGTGACGATGCGCACGTCTAGGGACTATTACGACCGAGTGCTGGCGGTGGACGAGGCGGCAGATGGGTACTATCGCCACTTCGAGGCGCCGGGGGTGTACCACTGCTATGGGCTGAATGGCACGTTTTACCCGCTGAAGGGGTTGGAGACGCTGCGGGCATGGGTCGAGGAGGGGAAGACGCCCGATGTGATGGACGGGTTCAAGTTGAGTGGAGGGAACGATAGCACGGCACCGACGAGGCCGTTGTGCGCGTATCCTGCGACTGTGAAGTTCACTGGTGGTGATGCGGACAAGAAGGAGTCGTGGGTCTGCGAGAAGCGATCAGCAAGTTACCCCAAACCTGAATGGGATCGGGACGAGTTATGAGGTTGGGACGAAGTCATCCGCTGTCGGGAGGTGGAAATAGATATTCTCGTCTATAGTGTAGTAATTCTGATAGTATCCTATCGATAGAGAAAAGGAATGGCAGTGAATTCGTGCAATGCGCAATGCAGATTGATGACCTGCGTGATCATTCCGTCCATTCCATGCCGGAGCCCGGGCTGGGTGTTGTCTTCCGGAGGGTTGTTCCGGAGGGTGGTCCGCCAATGGCGACCGGGCACCGGAGCAAAAGGCCCGTTCAGAATGACCCGATGCTTATCTTATCAGCAGTTGTCGCTTATGTAAGAAAGACCAGAAGGACCCCGAAGACCCGACCCCCTTGGAGAAACGTGACTCCATCACGGCGAACCGAGGTGGGCCCGTCGGCGTCCCAAAAACCGAATTTCTCAATTTTCAGGGTCCAATCCCCCCGCTCCAGCGAGTATGAACAGTGGTCCCTCCCCGTGCTGCTGTGGACTGCCTGCCCCTCCAGGTCCCCGCTGCCTTTAGCATCTTTTGCCGTCTCTTCTTTCCCCTTGTCGCTTGCCGTTCTTAGCAAATTCCCATGGGAAAAGCCGCAAAACATTTCGCCACCTCTCTCATAAAGGGCCCGACGCCAACTTTCCCCCTTAAAACTCACCCGCCTTCGATCGCTCTCGATCCCGATTCCTCGCTCCATGTCCGACGATCGAGCTCCAACACCACCGATCTATCGGCTCTCTTCGACATCCTGGGCAACCACACAACCACTGCCATTTGCTTCGCACAACCCGCCTGTGCTTCTGGCACTGCAATCTCACCAGCCCGCCGTGGTGGTCGCTGCCGCTGCCGCTGCCGCTACTGCACCGTCCAGGTAAATGACCTCTGCGTCTGCGGACCTGCTCCGATCGCTCCGGGTCTAGACCCCCGGGCTTGTTCTAGTCGTTCCGCGTCGATTCCAGGCCTTGTTTATTTTGTCTCTTCTTTGGGCATTCCGGCCCCTCTCTGCCGTGTGCGTACCCTCCGTGCTTGGCCGGCCCTTGGGCCACCGCTCCGATTGATGCCTTCCGGCCCCTCCAACCCACGATCCGCTTCCACCCCGAGATCAGGGTCGTCGCCCGCTGGCACGCATGGCCCGACTGCGATAAACCCCAACGAGACGCATCTCATCGCCGGCAATGATGGTCAAGACGATCCTGGGTCCCCCAGTAGGGTCTCTTGGAACCATCTTCGCCAGGGCGAGAGTCATCAGCGCGTGAGTCTATTCTATGGCCCCCTTTCCCCCCTTCACCGTTTCTTATCGGGAGGGCTTATCGGGCCCACCTGCCTGCTACATTGGAACATGAGTACCTGCACATCTCGTCGTCAACTTCACGCTCTTCGGCCAAGGCAGTGATTCCTCCGTCTAACCTTTTGCTTTCTTCAGATCCGCCATGGTGCTCAGCAATTACTTCGCCTGACCGGTAGATTCCCCTCTTACAATGCCGCCAGCCCGGAAGCCGGCTTTGAGGCCACCAACGACCACGCTCTACCCACCGAAGACGATTTGCGTGCCATGTCAAGATTATCGCACAGCATCGCCCGCGACATACACGAGATCAGGACTCTTCAAAGGGAAGACCCCAATGCGAATAAGCGCAAGTCGGGCGAGGGAAGCAGTGAGCAGCAACAGCTCGTCGCTTCCAGGAACCATGCCGGGAACAGCGGCAGTCCCCCGGGGGGGCGCAGGCATCGCCGCAAGACGATCGATTTCTCGTGCCACAAGTGTCACCGCGTTGATACCCCGGAATGGCGACCCGGCCCCGACGGTCCCAGTACGCTCTGCAATGTGTGTGGCTTGATTTACGCTAAACGCGAGCGCAAGAAGGAGGAGTCGACGATGCCTACCTTTGGATCTCGCTAAATCTTTCTCGCGTGTCCCTTCTTCCCACTTCCTTCTATTTTACTTTTTATTCTACTTTACTATTTACACCTAGCTTCGTCGAGGATATATGGGGCAGAAAGAGCAATCTTTGATCGGTTCGAAAAATGGAATTACGAGACGACAGCGAGGCGTTGGAAGCTGCTTTTAGGCATTGATACCCAACACGAACAGATGGATATGGACCACTTCTTTTTTCCTTCCTTTTCCTCAAACTTGGGACATTTGTTTCGGCTGGTGTTTGGCGCAATGGACAGATGGATTATGAATACCTATACCCAACCAAAGAACTAAATCAAATTTGTCTTCTGCTATCTTGGATAGAAAATGTACGTTGCTACGTTACTCGAACAGGTGAGAACTGTGGCTGAAATCCAGGAGGCAGTCCTTTCATCTCGTTGAGGCGAAAACATCGCTTCTTCTCAACAGATCTGCCCGCCCCCGTTGACAGCTAAGCGGAAGTAAGGGCTAAACCGTGTCTGACCATCGTCGAGTGTCTGACTTTTGGTTCATCGGCATTCGAGACACGGCTGAGGGTTACGATTTTGGCCGACAAAGAGGAAAATGCCCATCCCGCCCGGCCGTAGCTCTCCCCCGCCCTTCATCTTCTACCTTACTCGCCTTGTTATGCGGCTTGTTGCGGATGAGCAGGGGTAAGCTGTGCAGACACAAGCACAAGTCGCTGTGCGGCGGCGGCGACGGCAGCTCAGCTCAGCTCCACAGCTCACAGCAATTATGTCTCCGATGAGCCGCGCCAAGGGATGCGGGGAAGCACACGGCAGATCACTCACGAGGTCACTCCCCCAAACCCAAGCAAAACGCAACGCTTCACGTCAGCCCACCGACCGTTTCCCACCAACTCCCCGTGTTCCCCCAGGACCACCAACGACATGACTGGTTGAATAGGGCTCCGTAACCGATGTTGCATGCAGCTGCCAGGCAACCTGATGTGAGGAGAAAAGCTCGTATTCAGCATGCTTAAATGTATGTCTCGAACCTCCTGATCATCATTTCAAGGTTCCCGAATGAGGGGCGAGCGTCATCAATCAATTCATCTCGCCGAGCAGCAAGTTCGTGTTCGTCCTTGACATCGTGGCATCGTCACATCGGCCCGTGTCTTTGGGGTTTGTCTTGGACTTTAAGTCTATTTCATGTAGGATGGGATGATCTTTAGTCAGAAATTCCTTCTGACAGAGGATGTAGGGCAGACGCTCTCAGAGGAGAGAGGTGTGATGAAGGCTCATTTAGGAAACATCGTGACATTTCATTCTGATCGGCGCTCGTATCTAGAGCCTTAGCTTCTGTGCCGTCGCCCGGCAGCTGAGACCTGTTGTCTTTTCTTGACAGCATACAATGACTTCACTGGGAACTTGTGAAAAGGCGGTCACCGGCTCAACATATAAATCATAGATAGATCCGTACATCAGCGCTATTAACAGCACCAGCCTCAAGCCCATTACCATAATATTACCACGATCAAGTCAAGCCACGAATCTCATCAGACTCCTGACCCCCAAACATCTGATTACCATTTTCCCATTCAGACCAAAAACCACCAGCCTTCAAAAATGCAACTCAAGTCCCTCATCCCCCTCATCGCCTTGGCAACCCAAACCGCAGCCCTCGGCAAAGCAACAGTCGTGAACAACTGCGCAACCGAAGTCTCACTCTGGTCCGTCGGCGGCGACGTCCGCGCCGCGGGACCCCTCGCCGCAAAGGGTGGCACATACAGCGAGACCTTCGCCCGGGACCCGACGACTGGCGGCCGGGCCCTCAAAGTCACCCGCGCGCGCGACGGCTTGTACACGGGTGCCCCGCAGCTCGTTTACGCGTATAACTTGGACGGCAGCGGCGTGTGGTATGATTTGAGCACCGTTTTTGGGGACGGGTTCAAGGGGAGCAAGATTGTTGTTGCGAGTCGGCTTGCGAGTTGTCCTGCTATTGTGTGGGCGGGTGGAGTGAGTCCGGGGGGAAGTCAGGTTAAGGTTTGTACGGCGGATCAGGATGTTGTTTTGACGCTTTGTGCTTAGGGGGTCTTTGTGACCGAGAGAGCGGGGAGGAGGATGGTCATGTTGGTTGTGGGATGAGATGGGGCTTGAGGAAGGAGAGAGTGTGATTACATGCCTACATAGTTTCAATGTTTAATGCTTGACCAACATCCTTCCTAGATCTTGCCAGGTTTTGGAGACATATGCTACAGCTTACACGACATCGATTGCCTCGACACCTTCCAGCCGGCTTGTACGTCAAAGATGATCACTATTCACGTAGGAAACAGACGCTTATGTACATTATCTATGATACAACCTATGATACCATAAGTAGTACGTACTGCCCGTCTACTTGGGTCACATTCGGAATAGTAACCGAGTTGTCTGGCAAGATCCCAATAATTTCACCAGCCATGAGTTGGAATGGTACGTCAGCGGTGGTTCCAAGTGCCTTCTTCGCTACCCTGACTGGGGCCGGCTGAACGAACCCTCGAACGGCGGAAAGCATAGAAGGATTGACTAAGGGACAGATTGTCAGTCCAAGGGTACATCGCCTATGTCTGAGGGTACTTTCGTAGAAGCACTTACACGGAAACTTCATATCTGCAAGCATAGGCGCACCAGGGGAACTCGAGTTGACAACCCAAGCAAAGCTGTTAACCGGCACCAACCCCGGCGGAACAGCCTTTGGCGAAATTCCATTGACAATGTCGATGTTGATGCCCATGTCGGTACTCGGCACAACACTTAGCCGCAAGCCGTCGATGAACTCAGCTTCCTGTCGGTTTCCCGCCGTGACGTTGACCGTCCTTGTAGCCCCCTGGCCATACTGCACAAACTCGTTGGCCGTATCCTCCGTCTTCCGTCCAAGCAGGATATACTCGCCCTGGAGCGACGTCATCTTGATAATGCGGGTATTGTTCTCCTCTCTGTGCACGTTGCGCGTCGCATCGTTGACGATCCAGCTTTTCTTATCACCAGCCAATGTACCGACATACGTGTTGCTCTCCTGGATACCGATCGAGGCGAGCGCCGTTGGGTCGTAGGGGATCTCGATCTTGGCGATGAGGTCGTTTGCCGACTCGTTGAGGCTGATGACGTACGAGTAGTTCTGCAGCGCCATGAAGGGTCCACCCGTGGTGCCCGTCACGAAGTTGCCCGGTAGCGGCATGAGGTTCTGTTGGACGACCAGCGTGCGGTTTTTGGGCGAGAAGAGATCTAGAGCTAAGCCATCTTGGAAGTCTTGGTCGGTTCTTTCCATCTGATAGGCCGAGTACTTAGCAGATGGGAAATTGGAATTTTGGTAGATGATGGGCACTTACACTGCCGAGGACGTTGATAGGGTCACCAAACTTTGCCTTATCTGCTGCGTCCTGGCCGAGGACCAGGACCGTAGCGGCGGCGAGCCACGGCCCGAAGAGCCTCAGTTGGAAAGGGACCCGACACATTGACTTGCTAGAATATTGATTTCGAAGAACGGATTTACTGTCAAGAGACCAGTTGGTACAAAGAATTAAGATTTGATCGCCAGCTGTACATGATGATATACCTCCTCAACCAAAGCTCGAAAGAGATTCGAGGACAAACCAGTTCGTCCCCTGTTCAGGGGCCAATCACCCGAAACCACAGCCGAGCCCCGTGAGCTAGACTGAAAACGCACATCAATGAAGCTTTACTCGCGTCCACATCTCGTGAATCACCAATAAGTCGAGGCAACCTGTCGGCCGAGCTACCGAGACCAACTCGATTTCCGAGCAAGAGAACCGAGACCGACGCTGTGGTAACACCCCAAAGTAAGGGACCAAGCCTTACTCACTCCGGGGTCCGCCTCCGCAGGGTGCTTTGCGGGGGATTTTTTAAAACAAGCTTTAGGATCTACTAGGCCTGGTCTAGAACAGAGTTTAGCGTCAAACCAATGACACAGTCGAGTATTAATAAGTTCAGATGAAGTCCAAACCCCACGTCAGCTCTGCAGCGTTTGACTCCTCTTTCAGACGTAGGGGTTCATCCGTCTGTACTGACTACTCAGGTCGTTCAATCAAGTCTATTGCGGCTTTCTTTTCATGCTTACTTCCGATGCTCCAATATAGGAGCACAGCCACTTTGCTTATCGAAATGTGAAGTCCCGAAGTCATTCATGGCTTCGTTGGAGGATAGGGCGTCCTAGGTGTTTCACGTTGCGATCCGGCAGCCCTCAACTGTGCCATCCCACTGGCAACGTCGGTCTACCCGGATGTAACTTCTACGGCATAGAATCCAGGACAAAAGTTCGGAATTTCTCCCATATGCAATCTTTAACAGGACTAAACCTGGTGGCAAGGCAATTTTCTCTTATCTTGCTTCACATTCTCCTCCGCAAGAAATATCCGATGGGAGAGATTCATTGTTTCCCTGCCCAGATGTCCTCGGTCCGTGTAATCGGGCGAAAACTTACCAATGGCATGGTAGCGAATCATGTAAGTGCTGGGAATTGATGGATTCCACTGTAATTGGTTATGCATAAGCAAACTTGGACCAGAATGACATTAGACGGAACAGCTTAGATGAAAAGATTAAGCTCCCTTGGTCTAGTGTCGAGCTTGACTTCAACCTTTTCTTTCTTGGCCGGAAGAGCTACCCTACCTTCCAGGTTATCGCCCTCAGTTTCAACATTTCTCCGCTACACCACCACTTCTCTTTCACTCACCACCGTATCGCTCTAACACTAGCATAACTCTACGACCTGAGCGCATCTTTACGATGATAGCACATCTTTGATACATTACTAGTCTTGTACCTTACGTCCTTTTCCCTCTATATCCCATTAACTACTAGATAGCGTCAATCCGTCCGTCCCGGCCTTTCTCAATTTTACTCTGTTTCGAGATTATGCATGGGCGGATATAAGGGAAATAGGCTCGGATTATTAGATCATTCGCCATGTGTGCGTTCTGATGCCCTCTAGCAGTTATGTGATATCTCTTCGCGCTAGTCTAAAGACTACCAACATAGTCCCTTGATCTCGAGGTTTGCACAAGGCCCTACGATACGACAATCGTTCATACTACCTCTACTAATCGCTACTAGACCAAGATTGATATCTTTAATGAATGACGGCATAAGGACCTTGACCTCTCATTGGAATTGCATAACGAATCCCTTGTCGGATAGACGATGACGCTTCTGGATCTTGAACTGATAACACTGTGACTAAGTACTCAGGGAGTGTAGTTAGATCTATTGCTTCAATCACCAAATCATTGCGAGGTCCTCAACATTCAAATTTATGACGCTGGCGGAATGAAGCTTGAGCATGTGGTTAAGTGAGTGTATTTGTGCTTGTGGAGCTCTCGTCAAAATTCAACGACTTCGCAAGATCTTGAGTACTAGAAGTATGTCCAACTTCGACAGAATCCATTTCCTCCAACGGAGATATCTGCCTGGTGTGGGGCGGAAGATTTGAAGTCAGCCCAGCGTCGCAATGATGATGTTTCCAACACAGGGCCCCCTGCCCGGCCCACGTTGTCATCCAGTCAGAATGGAGGACTTACATATGGGGAGCCTGGAGCGTATGTGAGGCTGAGGCACGAAATGTAATGTGTCTCCTCCCAGCACTTAAGGCACAAACTTCAATAAAGGACAGGCTGAGTGATGTTGTTTGGGAGCTCACATGCAACTTAGACTCAACCTCTCAGCGCGGCTTACCGAGACGACATAGCTTAATCATGTCACTCGTAGACTGGGTCAAGGCTCGGCACATCTTATGTCTCCGCGAGAGAGCCACTCAAAAATTACAGGATTCTAATCCCCAGGTCGCCAATCCTCTATACGAGTTCCAGGATTCCCTCCGCAATCGCCTCGTTCTTGATCCGCCAATTCACAACGACGCAATTTGTGATAGGTGCGAAAAACTACGCAACGATCCAGATGATTACGAGTTGATATCAGGCCTCCGGTACTGGTGTCTAGACTGTCAAACAACGCAGGCAGACTTTTGTTCATCATGCGTTGTCGTTCCCGATCAAGGCATCGACCACGACCCCGCGCATCGATTGGTGCAAATACAGCCGACCGTATGCTTAGTCTGCGAAGATGTCGAGCGACTTGAGGTCAAGCCGGCTGACATGCATCGTGGGCCTTACAAAGAATTCTCAGTAAAGGGCGGTACACTGAAGGAAGTCGCGGATACTAGGAGCTGTGGATTCTGTACTTTTGTGTGGAGTCTGTTCGCTCAATCTCCCCCAGAGAGCGTCAAGTGGCCTCCTGACGACGATGATGAAGTTACAATCAGGATCAGGATACAGTGGCGGGATTGGTTGGATATCTCTGTTGTTTCTGATATTGCGACTGAAGAAGAGTTTGTTATGCGCGGGGAAAAGTATGTCAGAAGGGGGCAAAATGTTTCTGATATGGAAAAAGGACTGCTCGTGGGCACTTCCATCTGTAAGAAGTCCTTTTCGCGCGAAGAATTGATTTATTCTGTTTCTTGTCACAATGAAAGTGCTAATACTTTTCTCACAGCCTGGTCTCATGAGACTCCCGTCAGCAAAATTACTTCAAAAGAAGAAGACAGGAGAACTTGGCAGGCTGGTATCTGCAAGGTGCTACCTAGCTCAGGATCCGACGAAGCTCTCCAGCTGGCCAAATCGTGGCTCGATAGCTGCCGTGAGAGACATCCGAAGTGTGCAGCAACTACGCCGCATTTCCTACCATCTCGAGTGATAGCGTTGCAAGGCCAGGATTCCTCGCGCGTTTATCTCAAAGAAACAAAGGGTATTGAAGGTGAATACGCTGCGTTGAGCTACTGCTGGGGCCCAGGCGGACCGGGCCTCATCACGACGAAAGACAATTACCGGAACCACCAAAACTTTGGCATTTCAATCAGCGATCTTCCAGAAACGATTAGAGACGCAGTTCATGCTGCAAAAATCTTGGGACTAGGCCATCTCTGGGTTGACCGGCTCTGTATCGTTCAAGATTCTGTAGAGGACTGGGCCCACGAAGCGGCTCTCATGTGTGCGGTGTACTCTGGCGCAACACTCACACTGAGCGCCGATGGGAGCAACGCAGCTACCCAGGGTCTCTTCCAGTCGGACCAAACCCTATCTACGCTCGACTACAAGACGTACTACGATCCCGGAGGTGATAATCTAGTCTACATCAAGCGGTCAAGCCACGCGTCCCTGTCTGGCCGGGCGTCAGACATGACCCAGCCAATCGACCAACGCGGGTGGACAATGCAAGAACGCCTGATGAGCCCTCGAGTCCTGCATTTCACCGAGGAAGAAATGGTATGGGAATGCAACACCCTCACAGAGTGCGAATGCCGCCGCGAATCCAACATGTCAACTCGAGAACTAGCGCCTAGCGGTATTACCAGCCGAGAGGGGCTGTACGAACACTGGCGACATATTGTGCGCGAATACGCCAAACGATCTCTCGCGTACGAGACAGATAAGATGCCAGCTCTCCGAGGTCTCGTCGAAAAGTTCCAGCGCGTCATGCAGGATGTCTTTGGCGAAGATACTGATGTTAAAGATGAGTACTTGGCCGGACTCTGGAAGAACGATTTGGTTGAGGGGCTTGCGTGGAAACCGCCGACGCCGGGAGACTTGGAGGGGTTCCTGAAAGCCACGAACCACCGGCGAATTCTAAACATTGGCGTGGACAGAGACGAAGACAGCGAAGCATGGGACAAGATCCTCGCTGAGCGTAACCGCCTCGAAGACTGGCACCAGTCGGGCGGATATGTAGCTCCCACCTGGAGCTGGGCGCACCTACGCGGTCCAATGTCCTACCTCTATTGCCGGCCCTGGACGCCTTTTATCCCCTTCGCCGAGGTCATTGATGTCGACGTCGTGCCCGTCAACGCCAACGAACCGACGGGCCAGGTTTCTTCTGGTTTTGTCACGCTCGACGGGCACTTGGTTCGCGGCCTGCAGCTGTACATCATGTATGGTATCTACGACGGCGGTGATGTCAAGGACTCCTGCTTCCTGAGTCTCACTGAGCCGTATGATGTCTTTATCGAGTTCGTACCCGATGATCCACACGGCTTGGTGCAGACTTGGGGATCTAATCTTGGCGAAGTTGTGGTGTTGCTTTTGGGGACGAGGGACTTTTCTCCGGAGGAAGGGGGATTTGGGGCCATTGTGGGCTTGAGCAAGCCAGTGAAGATGTCGTGGAAGAGGCCGGACGACGGGAAGAAGGTCGAGGCGGACGATGAAGAAGCAGTTGTTGCGGCCATCCCATCGGCATGCGAGCTACCGAGCGAGTTAGTTGAAGCTTTTGTAGAGGATACGGAATACCCTCGCTTCACGACATTCTTGGTCCTGAAAGAGTCGAAATTGGAGCAGGGCAAGTACGAGAGGCTGGGTTGCTTTGATGTTTGGGGTAGGAATGATGTTGGTGTTGCCAAAGCGCTTTTCAGCAGCTCAGTCAAGGAGATAATTACGGTCATCTGAGACAGACTGCATGATAATGACAATAATTCTCCATTCCTTCAAGTTCTGAAGATACATACTCTCGGTGCTATTGACCTAAGCTCCTCCATCTGCTCGTACCAAGCAGTAAGGGGTCCTATCAGAGGGGTACCTGGCGAAGTTCGGGACTCAATGGAATGATTGTAGCCTAGGTGCTATTACTCCACGAGATAACTCTGCGTCGAATGAAGTAGATCGACAGACGAATGTTTCCTCGCGCTTTGTCATCAACATTGATGTGCCCATGAGAAGATGTGACATGGCGGCATAGGACGACGAATTTCGAAATCTGTGACACCCTCGTTCTCGTTCCCGCAGTCGTAAGGTAAGGTCAGCAGTAATCTCCGGCCCCGCGCAACCGGGCGGAGGCTGTGTTAGCCGACCGTTCAATGTTTCAATCGGACAAAACGGGGTATTTGGCAAGGCCCCTTGAACTCCGGGGCCGGAGTCTGAGAAAATTAATCCCGCCGGCAACAGGCGTCACCGAGAACGCCGACTTTTTTACATGTACGACTTGGCGATGTAACATAAGATGGCTCCAGATACGCACTGCGTGCAACCTCGGACGACTTAACAATCTGCGTGAGATGTCATGCAGGCTAGTAAATGGCACAGCCAGCGGAAGTGCCTTTCTCATAGAATAGTAGATCTGCCTGGCCACGTAGTTTTCAAGACGGGCAGTTGATGTGTGTTTCAGCGAGCTTCGGCCCGTTCGATAGAGGTGATGCTAAGATCGTCCTCTTCACCAGGCCTTTGGCAGACAAATTAAAGTTGCGAGGTTGGAAATCGGGCCGCCAAGTAGGCCTAGAGCGACCAATCACACTTCACGGCATACGCTTTAAAAATCCAAGTCTACTAGCTCGATACATGAGAAACGCTCTTACCGCGATACGCCGACGAGAAATGAGGGAAAGTACTTGAAAATTTTGAAATCGGCCTGCCGAAAAGGCGCGAATTATTTGATCTTGGTGTGGCAGCTATCTGGACTTCCTTGGCTCCCAACCACTCAAAAACACTGCAAGTTGTGAACTGCGCCTCGCTGAGATAAGGCTTGGCGCTTCCCTCCCAACCTATGTAGAGCCAAGACCCTCACACCTCACAAGAGACACACCACAAGTCAGCCAGAATTTTACCACGAAACGGTGAGGATTACTCGCTCTTGTAAACCCAAGAATTACAAACTACGTCACACCGCAGCATTACCGGTGGCAGTGCACATTCCGCGCTGGGCAGTGCATGTCGACAGCGGGGCTTGGCAACCCGAAAGTACCTCGCACAACGTACCGGACCATTTGATTGAACGATGCACTCAGAAGGAACGAAATAACAGAGTCCAACGAGATCCCTCAGTAGAGGCCTCCGCCAGGAAGCAAAGGATTCACCTACCAACTCAGACGTCTCCCGTCCCTCTATCATCTTGCCACTGACTTCATGTTGTCTTCCACAGTATCCACGTACTCTAACCGAATCTCCTTCTCCTCCGAGCTAGTCCCATAGACAGCGGCGGGCGAAGTATCCGCCAAGACATCCTTGACGCTCTTGCGTTCTCGCAACGCGGTCCAGACCGTGGTGTGCATGCTCCTCATGAAGAGTAAATCCATATCTTCGAGCGTGAGACCTAGCACAGGCGCCTGCGTCAGCCACAATGATCATGACGATGAAGAAAGAGGCCAGGTATAGTAAAAACTCTGACTACGGTAGCCTCAGCTGGAGGACGACGGAGCGAAACTTACCTTTGGTCTCGGGTACGAAGAAGAAGGCCCAGACGCCCATAAGGATCATGAGAGCACCAAAGAACATGTAAGTCCCGTAGCCGAGCGACGTAATCATGTAAGGCGTAGTTCTCGAGACGATGAAGCTCCATAGCCATTGGTCTGCGGTCGTGATTGCGACACAGAGCATGCGGATGTCTAGGCTGAATACCTCGCTGCAGTACAGCCATGTGATGCCTTGCCTGTACGACAAATTAGACCTTATCCTGCCTCAATTTGCAAATTACCTGGAGCAGAAGGAGCCTCACCAAGTGGCGCAGTAAATCAAGCCATAGAGATATACGCAAACCATGGCGATGTACCCCCATGCATTGCGGTCGGTATTACCAGCAGCCGCCTGGCCGGCGGGGTCCGCAAGAAACGTGAAGCCGCCTATGTACCACATTGGAAGGGATCCAACGAAGGCGCCCCAGATGAGACCATTGCGTCGGCCGACCTTTTCGGCAAGCCAGACGGTGAAGATGACCATGCCCAGGGTCTTGGCTATACCGTAGAAGCCCGTCGCAAAAAGCTTGGTGCTCGTGCCTGTGATGCCAAGGGTCTCAAAGATGCGAGGCGAGTCTGTTCTCTAGGGTCAGCGAGAGAGCACTCAGATCGAAGAACGTTTTCTTTTACTCACAGTATGTGATGATGTTCACGCCTGTCAGATTCTGGCAGGCCATCAGAAGCAGACCGATGCCGATGCGGTTGCGAGAGCCCTTCTCGAACAAGCGCTTGAACATTTGAGACTTTGTCATACGATTCGCGCTGCTGTCTTCTACCTGCCGCTTAATGTCGTTGATCTCGGTGCTGACATAGTCATGGTCTGCTGGCAGCTCGCGAATGTGAACCAAGACTTTCTTGGCGTCCTCCCACCTATCGTTCTTTGCCAGCCATCTCGGCGACTCGGGACAGATGAAAATGCCAAAGAACAGGAGGACTCCCGGAAGCAACTGCAAGCCAAGGGGCACAATCCACTGCGTTTGCGTTGAGTCTGAAATTGTACGATCCACCGCGTAGTTTACCCAGAAGCCGCACATCCCTCCTCCCTGTGATGCAATTTCAAAAAGCCCAACGAGGCGGCCACGAATGGACGGGGGGCTAATTTCCGATATGTACACAGGGACAATCAGGGACGTTGCACCAATGCCCAAGCCGGCGATGGCTCTTCCGGCAATCAGAAGTCCAATCTCTCCATGAGAGGCTGTCATGAGAGTTCCGCCAACGAGGAAGACCAGGGCAGAGATCATGATTGCCTTCTTGCGGCCGAGCCATTCTGCCATGGGGAACATGAGCAGGGCGCCGAAGAAGCATCCTGCCTGAAACGTGGAGACAATGTTGCCTTGGAGAGTATCACGAACAACTGGCGAGCTATCCGCAAGGTCGAAATCCCGGCGGAATGAGTCCAGAGCCATGGTGCCACCTATGACTGAGGTGTCGTAACCCACTGGGCTGTGTAAGCCTAGGTCCTGTCCCGACTCTATTGAGCTTGGGGGCGAAGTGAAACTTACTGGCAATAGCACTCATTGAGGCAATGATTGCTATCATGTGAATCCGCCAATTGCGGACTTCACTGGGGTCATTTGTCCCATCTGCGTGGAGATTGAAGCCCATCTTGGCCGGCACTCAGCCTCGTGGCGAGAATGAGTAGGACCTCAGGTCAGCCTTGGGCTACCAATGTCTTGGCGCGTTGAGCGAAGTGATGCGAGAACCGCCGTCCGCGTCGACGCTACGGTAACAGAAAAGCAACGAAGCTTAACGAGAAGTAGATATAAGCGACGCGAGAAATCGCAGATGAACAGGGCAATGACTCCAGCCACGATGCCCAAGACCTTGTTAGCCAGATTCGTTGACTGACATGCGCAAAGGCGATAATGTCTCCTTTATGGACGAGATACGACATGGCGACATGTTCGCCTGCATAGCATTGTCACACTGTAGGACTGGACAGCTCAACGCGGCGCTAGTCTATCCCACGAAGAAACACCGTAGACTGGCGGAAAACCCCATGTTGATCGTTGATGATGGACGGATTCCTGACTTGGACGCTTCAAACGATGCACCCTTTCAAGATCAGCTGGACAACTTGAATGCAATTCAGTCGAAGCTAAGCCGTCTGGTTCAGGGGATCATGGCCAAGACTCCCTGGCTAGACAACAAGCTTCCCCGCGTTCCCCGCGTTGGGTATGCGTCGACCAGGATAATTGCGTTGACATTTTCCCGCGACCACGGTAGTTGATGCTTGAAACATTGCAGATATCGGGATATCTACGAGGAAGTAGAGAGGCCGACAGGAAGGGAACACGGCGCTAAATGGTGTTAGTTCTGGATATTTTGCTCGAGTCAAGGCGTTT